TGGCACGTGACAGCCAGCCCCTGTCTCTCACATTCTGAGGGCTCGAGGCCCACGTGCATTACCGGGCCAGCTGGGTGGGGACGCTGGAGCTTGAATTTTAGCCTTTCCTTGTCAGTATCCCCTATCCTTTGGTTCTGAGACCCTTTTTGCTAGGATGTTAGGGATCTGATGTTCTTCCATTGGGAAGGCCACTGAAAGGCAATGCTTAACCTAACATGCAGTATTAATGACAATGGCATCTCAGGTATCAGGTGGCACGTCTTAGGAAATACACAAGGACGCAGCCCTGACTGAGAGGAAGCGGAGGGCCCGGGCACCCTGACTGCTGTAGTACCATCCACGTCCATCTGAGGGCAGTGATGCCCAGCCTAAGCCCAAATTCCTGAGTCCACTCAGGTTTTACTTGGGGGCGTCCTACCCTGGAAACCACAGGGAAGACCTTGAGACCCTAGTCCACCCTCGCATTGAACAGATGGAGACTGGGACCCAGATCTGTCCACAGCTACACAGGAAGCACACAGACTCTTTCCTCAGCACCCCACCATCCCAGCCTGTGTGGTGCTGTAGGCTTGGGGCGTCTTTGTGTTTGTGGGAGTCTTGGGGAGCTCTAAGGTGCATCAATCCAGAATCCCCATGGCCTCGGTGCCACCTTTGACCACATGCTGTGTGCCACGGCCCCATGGACATGCACGCCCCCTCTGAACTCACCAGGCAGCGTGGTTGGATGGGTAAGGGCACGGGCTGCGAGCTCTGTGGCCCTGGCCTGCATCCTGCTGGCTCTCTGGTAAACTTTCTGGGTCTCCCTGTTCTTATCTGGGAATAAAACAGCACCCCCGTCATGGGCTAGTTGCGAGGAGTAAATGAGTTAATATTTGTAAAGCGCTTAGACTAACGCCTGGTGAGAGAGCAGGGGGCCGACTCCACTTCTCCCATTAAGAAGAGTCCCTTCTTCCTAGCTTCTGACATGACATGGGAGCCACCTGAGCAAATGCTGCCCTAGCACCCAGGTGATCTCATCCCTGCTCTCCCCCTTTGCCATTCCCTCCCTCCCCTACCAACCAAGAACCACACACACATAAAAATACAGAATTTTATCTTATTTTAGTTAAAAAAAAATAATTGTACCATTGAATGAAGAAGTCATGGGGGGGGGGCGGTGAGAGGCGTTGAGAAGGGAGGGAAAAAAAAGCAATAAGCCCGAAAGAAAAAGAACTTTTTTATATTCATCTGTATAAACATATCCCCTAAGGCAAATGCAATCCAGGGCCAAGGTTGCTGCACGCACTGGGGCCAGTACCTCCTAATTTCTGCAGATTCTAAGGCCAAAAAAATAAAACCTCTGCAAGTCCAATGGGGGTTTCATAGACTCTTGGGGGCGTTTTACTAAAATAAAGTTATTGAATTTAAAAAGCAGTGACGCTGTCATGACATACGCGAACGTCGAAAGTTGCATAACTGTGGCCTCGATGGCCACTCATTTGTTTGGACTGGGTGACGGGCACAGTTTCACGATAAGAGACAGACACACACACACACAGACACGCACACACGTCAGTAAGCACATGGGAGCTGTGCAGGGCTGGGCCAGGGACACGGGGAATGCTGGGGTCCCCATGCTTCCTCGGGGGGTGGGTGTGATGGACAAGTCCTGTCACTGGTGACAAGGTGGGGAATGTCACTTGGGTAAGGATGGTGTGAAAGGGCCGAGCGAGGTCCCCTGCTCCCCACTGCCTGGTCGCACAAACTGCATAAAGCACTTCTTGGTCGCCTCCTGCAGAACGAACACGGTGCCGATTTCCTTCCCTATTGAAGGGGTCAATCCCTCCTCTCCACGCTGCTCTCTCCAGCACCCCCGAGACCCTCAAGTTGTCCCAGGGGGAACAGGGAGTAGTGTCTCTGCCCCCAGAGCCTCCCCTGCCCATGGTCCATGGCATGGCTGGGAGAGTGTGGGCCCATGAGGTAGATTGACACAGCGTCCCCTCCCCCTGCCTGGCTGGGCCCCAGAGAGCTGGGGTTGCGTGGGGTGCCAGGGCCTCGGTCCCTTCACAACAATAGAAGCTTCCCCCCAGCCCCTTGCCCCCATCTCCAGTGGAGGAGAGGCAGCGCTGCGGAAACAGGTGCTGGGGGTGGGGCACCCTTGTGACTCTGATCAGCTCCTTAGGTCCCCCTCTACAGAGCCAGCCGCAATCTTTGCCATCTGTCGCTCCCCCAGTCTAGGAAGGGGCTGAGTGTCCCAGGGCAGTGTAGCCTGTGGGTGAAGGGCAGGCGGTTTCTGGGCATGGAGGAGGTGAAAGGGAGAAGGGAGAGGCGCAGGGGAGGAGAGGGGTGGGTGTGGAGGGCAGGCACATGGGCAGGGAGCAGCGCTGGAGCAGGCAGGGCGCAGCCAGGGGTCCAAGAGAGACTTAGGGGCATCAGGGAGGGCTGGGCCAGGCAGGGAGCCAGCGCTGGTGTCGCGGCCTCAGGAACTGCAGCGGGGAGCGAGGCGGAGGCTGGGCCACTTCTGTGAGACCGCGCAACTTGGCTGTGCTCACAGACATTTGTAGGTGTTTAGTATGGTCCCTTCAGACGGAGCCCAGGAGTCAGGCTCGGCCCCCAGTTTGCCCACCCTCACCCACTCTCGCTGGCCGGACCGGGCGCTGGTCGGGCCGCAGCCCCTCGCTACTTGAAGGTGGACTGCAGCTCCTTGAAGGCCGCTTTCCGCTGCTTCATCTCCTCCGCCTGCTTCTTCTTCTCCTCCTGCTCAGCTTTGATTTCTTCCTCGAAGCGGCTGGACACGTTGATGGCCTGCACCTGGGGTGGAGTGGGGGCGAGGTGCCTCAGGGCTGGAGGGCTCCCTGCGCTTCCAGGTGGGCTTTCCCTGGGATTCTCCCCGCAGTGCCCGCACAGCTCCCCCTCCCGCTGGCTCCGGCCCTGGAACGGGCACGCCATTCACCTCTCGGAGCCTCAGTTTCTCCATTTAGAGCCTGGTGCTCAATTAACTCTGATCTCATGGATTCGTTGGGAGGATTGAACGAGGGAACACATTCGGGGCCTGCTGCACAGCACGGGTCCTATACCTCCTGACGTGTCCTTATCCTGTTTCCTGTTCTGGGGAGCCCAGCTGCCCACCAGTCCCGTTGATAAACCCTGAAACATCCCCTCAGCCCTAGAAGCCCGGAAGAAGGCGGGAGGTGGCTTTTGGAAGGAACGGTCTTAGCTAATATGAGAAGAGGGAGAAACAAGGAAGATGGGGGTCCCGGGGCCCCGGGAGGGCAGGACCCAGGAGCCATATTTGTCCCCTCCGTCTCTTTCCGCGTGTGCTGAAAGGGGAGGATGCTGTCCATGTAGGTGGCCTCTGGGGTCCGTCATACTCCCTCAGGCTGGGGCTGGCAGGGCGAGTGTCCCCAAGAGGCCCTAGGAGCCAGTGTGTGTTTCTAAGCCTGGTCTGCTGTCTCCCAGGCCCACCCTTTACGGCCCAGTCCTTTGGGGTAGTGGCTCCGTATACCAGGGACAGCTCAAAGTGATCCCTGTCCCCTCTTCAAGAGTACATACCCCTCACCCACCCCTGGGACGGGGAGAGAAAGGGGATGCTGGGAAGGATCATAGCCTGGGTGGGGCAGGACAGAGGCGAGGAGCTTGGAGGGCCTGTCCCAGCTTAGCCGGGGCGTCAGCTCCACACCTCCTGTCTGCAGCCTCAGCAGGGACAGGAAGGGGAGGTACTGTCCCTCCAGCTACCCCGGGATCCTGTTATTCTCTGGCTACCCCCATCCTTGAGCTGGGGTCAGGGCACCTCACCCTGGGCTCCACACATCCTTCCATTCCTCACCTTGGCCTCAAAGAAGCTCTTGGCCCCTTTGACGCCCTCGGTGGAGACATCAATCTCGGAGAGGCGGGCGAGCACGTGCAGCCCGCTGTCCTCCTGCAGCTCCCCAGCCGCCGCCTTGCGGAAAATCAGGAGGAACTGTGGCAAGAAGAAAAAAACATGGGGTGTCAGGGTGAGAGGGAAAGGGGCCGGGGTCCCTGGCCATACCTGGGCCCAGCATGGCCTCCCTAGGAAAAAGGAGGCGTGCTCCCGGGACTGGGAGCTAGAGGTCTGGGTTCTCCTCCTCCATGCTCTGTGTCCCTGCACAGGCCCTGTGCCCCCCTCTCTCTGGGCCTTGGTTTGTCCATCTGTACGATGGGAGGCTAGGGGACCCATCTCCTGCTCGCCTAGGATCCCGGGCTACAGCAAGCCTGCTGCTTGGTCCACACTTCGCTCCCCTCAAGGGTCTTGATGACATGGCCTCCGCTCGCCTCTTATCTTTGTTTCTGCTGTTTCCCAAACTAATTCGCTCTAAATTCCACTGACTGAGTCTCAAAGGTACACGACTGTGCCCGCTTTACAGAATGAGGAAGGTTCAGAGACAAGAAAACACCTGTGCAAAATCTCAGCACCAGAAATTGAAGGAGGGGTGTGAACCCGTGCTGACTCCAAACAAACACGATCCTGCACAGCCTGCACCTTCCTCCCTGCCACTCTTCCAGGCGTGTCCCCCCACCACACACACCCCTTTCACTCACCCTGCCTCCTCTATGCTTCCTGATAGCTCTCCAAGGCCTGGCCTGAGCCCTGACTCTTCCGAGAGCCCCCAGCCCCCTGCCCCCACCCAGGCACTTAACCCTATGCTGCCCACTGCTCTCTGGCTGTGAGCCTTCCCATGGATCCCGTCTCCGAGTGGGGGCTAAGTAAGATTGGAGTGCGAAGTCCCCCAGCCCAGTGCTCAGCTCCCCTAGTCCCGCAGTACATCACTCTCTCCACCTGTCCCCCTCTTCTCCTGAATCCCAGCAGCGTGCCATCTCACTCTGGGCTTCTCTTCTACACGCCAGGACTCTTAGAGCCCAGGGCCTTTCACTGCACACTCAGAGCCCACACAGGTCAGGTATACAGAGGTCACTTAGTAGGTGCTCACTAATGAAAAAATGGATGTCCCTCCTTCTCCCTTAAGGCATCTCAGACCCCGGCCCCCACCCTGGCGGCTGCTCCAGGATCCCACCGAAGCCTCACTCAGCCAACTACCAGCCATTCAATAGCGGCTGTTCAGGACAACGTTGCTCAAAGGCCAAGGGGAGTTAGTCTTTTCCTGCCACCAAGCCCTCAGGTGCGGTCCCCCATGGGGAGCGGGCTCACCTCCCGGAAGCTGAGCTTGCTGTCAAAGTCCTCATCCACCTCCTTAATCATGTTTTTCAGGCCCAGGTGGGTCTGGGGCGCTCCAAGTTTCTCCATCATGAGCTTTAGCTCCATTAGGTCGATGAATCCATCCCGGCCAGCATCGTACCTGTGGGTACACAGAGAAAGGACTAAGCACATCCTGACACCTTATACCTGACCAGTCAGAGCAGTCACAAGCCGGAGTGCAGGGAGCCTGGGGGCTCAGGGGGCACATCCCACCAACATGTCATCCTATCACAGCTGGAAGGGACCTCAGCCCAGGCAGAGTCCTGATTTGTGGCCCAGCTATTGCTTGGTTACCTCTGACGATGGGGAACTCACCACATGGCCTGGCAGCCATGTTTAACAGTGCTATTTTGGAAAAGCCTGCTGCACAAGGAAGCTCAAATTACAGCTTCCCTGTACTGAATGGGACATGAACAAGCAGGGAGAAACAACTCCTAGTGCCATGGGGTGCAGACTGGGAGGGTGGACGCTGAGGTTAGCACTCACAGACCACCTCCAGGACCAGCTGGCTTACCAACATCTCCACGGGCACTCAAGGGACATCTTGGCCCCACTTCCTGTTCCCACCCAGGAGGGAGGCAGAAGGTACATGTCACAGGGCAGGGCTAGGGCGTCACAAAAGGGATGTCTACTTCTAGTTTTCCTGGAGGTGGCCTGGGGTGTGTGCGCAGGAAACGAGTTTTGCAGAGTGCCTGCAGCGAGCCGTGGGGACATGGCTGGGTGGCTGCAAAGGCCTGGCACAGTGAGTAGGTGATGGCAATGTCTCTGCCCTGCACAGTTCCGGTCTCTTTGTCCTGCCACCAATGGCCTGGCAGTCAGGCATGGAGTAAGGGGTGGAATCCAAATGTCTCTCGACTGCCTTCTTGCAGTAAGAGCTTGGGTCAGGGTTGGCCTCTGAACCCTGTCCCCTGGCTGGGGAGGTGCCACTGGTGTCAGAGGTACACAGCCCGGTGATTGTGGGCGTTGTTGGCACAGCCCAGCCGGGCCCTCTTATCAGGCTAACCAAACACCTGTCTCCTGGTGGGGTGGGGAGAGTGGTCTCAGGCCTCAAGCTGGCTGGGTGACAGTGTTGGTGACAGTAGTGTGACACAGAGGGGCTGCATTCCAGAAATCTGTGTCCCGAAGACTTGGAGTTCCTATTGTACATAAACACAGCTCATTCCTCTGCCCTCTTCAGGGCTCCCCAGGTCCCTTCCCCTTCTCTCGTGATGCATCAGCTTTGCACGACTTTGGACACCTAATAGCAGCCACTTTTCGAAAACTGTCATTGCACCAGGAACTTGACTCTGCTTAACCCTTGAACTAACCCCATTTTATAATGGAGACTCAGGGAGGTTAAGTAGCCTGCCCAAGGTCACGCAGCAATAAAGGAGGGAGCTGGGCTTCCACCCCACGTCTGCCAGGCTCTGTGCCCAGCTCCCCCTCCGCATGTCCTGGGACTGCCGGCAGAACAGAGACGTCTGCCTGGAGCGCTGAGTGGAGCATTTGTGCAAGGGGTATAAATAGTTCACGAGTGAGTCAGTGGTTGGAAGTGATGCAGCATGGGGGAGATGGAGCTCTGGGAACCCTGCAGGGAACACATGGTCCTCAGGCCTTTTTCTCCACAGTGGGGTGAGAGGGCTGGAGTGGGAGCACACGGGCCAGGGGTCCCTGTGGGCAGTGGCCATAGCTGGGCTGCAAGCAGATGCGAGAGAATGTGGTAGAGGGTTATGGGACCTGGGAGGGTCAGGCAGGCCAGTGATCCCACGGTCCAGGCTCCACTTAGAGCTGGAGGAGCCCTGTGGGGGATGGTGGAGGCCCCGCCACCCATCTTTGGAGCCTGCCTGCCCGTCGGTAAGGGGCAGGGCTGCTGGTGACTCTTAGTGACAGGTATTGGAGCAGCCCTGTGGAGAGTGGCCTGGTAAGGGAGTCAGTCTTTCCTGAGGCAAGTCACAGGGACTCCCCTCCTCAGCGCCCCTCAGAAAAACAAAGCCCCCATTGCTTTCTGAACTTGGGCTCCAATGAAGGTCAGTGACATGTCAGGGCTGGAGCAGGCTGCTTGGGTTCCAGAAGCCTGGGTCACTGGAACCTCCAGCTGAGGCTGAGAGCCTCTGACATGATGGTGACTCTCTTGGAGGGTCACTGTGAGGCCTGAGTTCGTAAGTGCCAAGCACTTAGCACAACGCCTGGCACATGGAGCTGGCTGCAGCTGCCACCACTATAATGAGATTTAGAGACCTTTATTAAGCTCCTACTATACGTGCCAGGCGTTTTCTCTTTACAACCTCTGTGCTCAGCAATCCTGGGAGGTCAGTATTATGTCCCCATGTGACTGATGAGGGAGCACACTGGCCTGATAACCAGCAGGCCAAGGATTCGGACCCTGACCCTACGATTCCCACACTCTACTCTCCGTGCCGCCCCACCCCTCTCCTGGGCCCAGCTTTATTTACTGCTCAAGTGGCCCCGTTTCTCCCGCAGCCAGGGGTGGCTCAGTTTCAGAGGAAGTACAGATAAAGTGTCTAAACTTGGACAGAAACTTGGGCTCTGGCAGCTCCCGGGCCTGGCTGGGCTGCAGCTTAAACCGCGGCTTGAACCACCGCCTGCATCAATCACGGGTCAATCAATTACTGGGTCTGGGCTCGATCCCAGGCAGACGCCAGCCCCCAGGGGGACAATGCAGGGGCTGGCCGCAGTGCCAGTGGATCGATCGCCAAGGGGAGGTGACAGAGGTCAGGGAGAGGCCAGGTGCTGGGGTGGGAGTTGGGGCCCCCAGAGGTGAGGCTGGAAAAGGCCGTTCCCATGAGACCCCCAGGGGAGTACCATCTACCATGTACCCTGGGCTCTGATGTGGGTGAGCTCTGGGTCACTGGGTCAGGCAGGTGCCAGGGTTAACCTACTGAAGATGACCTTGAAGGTTTGTGCTCATATCAACTCTGCTGAGACTGACCTGGGTCCAAACCCCCGATCTGCCACCTGCTGGCTGGGTGACCCTGGTCAAATCACCCGTCCCCATAAGCCTCAATTTTCCCATTTACATCACGGAGATCAAAGGACCCGTCTCAGGATTGAGGCAAAGAGTAAAAGAAACAATCCAAGCAGATTCTTAGCTGACAGTGTGGCCTGCAGGAAGCACTTCATTAATACAAGCTAACTACAACAATAATAATAATAATAAATAATAATAATAATAATAAATTATTAATATTTACCTTTAGGATTAAAGATTAAATGAGATTATAGATATAAAATGCCTAGTACATAGCAGGTACTTAAAACCTGCTAATTTCATTATAATAACAGCGGCTATTAAGAACTTTTTGTGTGCCAGGTACTATGTTAAGTACTTCGCACATAATGGTGACAACAAGAATAATAATGATAAAAAATACAATGGCTTCTTCCCAGGGCACCAGTTCTGATGGTGCCTGGCTAGTCTGGAGGCAGGAGATGGACAAGATGACCCAGAGGCCCCTCTAGTATCTCAACCTCCTCTGAAGGTCTTATACCCCCCCCCACCCCGCCAGCCCACCACCACCATTAGGCCTAATTCAAAGACCCCACCACTTGGGGTGGTGGAAAGACAGCAGGACAGAGCCTTTTGCTCTCTTGCTGGGCAGAAGCAAAGAGGAGCCTCGATTACTCTCCTGTCCCTCCTCTGAAAGGGAGGGAAGTGACAAAGGGGGAGACAGTCATTGTGCCCCCAGCAGGTGGACAACTGGCAACAGAGGAGAGAAGGATGTTCTAAGACGGCCGGAAACAGGCATCTCTCTGGCTGGGGAGACCCTCTCATCCATCAGCCCTCTTCCTGAGCCGGAACTGAGGCTGCAGGCGGCTCAGAGGATCCAGGGAAAGCGACGTCAGCACACAAAGTCCATCTGGATAGCTTGGTCTGTCAGTTTCATGTTATGAGGGGGAAATTGGGGCCCCGAGTAGGCAGAAACCAGCCCAAGGACACACAGTTGGCAGACGAGAAGATTCCAAAATCTTTCCTCTCTGCCTGCCTGCCTGCCTCCCTCTTCTTTCTGGTCCCACAGAGGAAACCCAGATTCTCAAGCTTACAGCGCTTGGGAAGGTTGGGTTGAGACAGCCTGGCTTGGGGCCTGCCGGGGAGGGCCAATTCCATCCGGCAGGACTGGCAACAAAGCTCTCGGGCTGGGAGCTCAGCACTTTTCTCTTGCACTGGAGAGGCGGCTGCACCTGGCACCGTGCCCACATTCCTACCCGCCTCCCCCTAAATAGTTCTCGACCGGGAGGGCTCAGCAGCTGCCGCCCCGGATGCTGGTGACAAAATCCCCTCCCATCCACCCCTGAAAGTGGAGCAGCCGGCCACCAACCACCCAGGCAGACTTTGCCCTTTGGGCTGAGCAGGTCCCACCAGCTGGCTGCTCCGCCTCGCCCCTCCAGTTCTGACCAGGAGTCATGCGGGTGGGCGGTGGCTGGCTCCTACAGTGTTCAGTGTGGATGCCCTGGGTCTGCACCCAGGGCTCGTCCCCATTTCATTATCATTAGTGGCTACTCCGCTGAGCGCGTACTATGAGCCAGGCACTGTGTCAATTGTTCTGCATCAGATCCTCACCAGAACTCTGTGAAGCAGGCATTAAATCACCCCATACCACAGACGAAGAGACTGAGGCGCAGGGAGGAAGTGACTTGGCCAAGGCCACAGTTGACAAGGACCCAGCTGGGATCCGAACCCAGGCCTGATGAAAAACACACTTTTAAACACTATGCTATGTCCTGACGCCTACAGACCCTGTACCACAGAAGCGCAGGTTGGGAGGGATAGTGGAGGCTACCTCATTTAGCCATTCGGGAGGGTAGGTTCCGAATGCACTTATCCTGCTTGGGCGTCTTGAATACCACTGAGGACGGGAAGCTCACTGCTTCCCTCAGGTGGCCCATTTTGGCTCTGGAGCTGTCTCGGAGGAAGTCGTTCCTCACACATGACCCTCCCCACCTGTCAGTTATGCTCTTCCATCGGATGGCAGAATGAGGAGCTGTCACAGCCGCTGCACAGGGGCAGGATGGGAACAGCTGGTTTGGGAGCAAAGGGCTCATTCCCATCCCAGGCCTCTGCTGATGTCCCCTCTGTCCCCAGGAGGACAGACAGCTGGAGAG